TAACGGCAATAATAAAAACAATACGAATATACTTTACTACAAAAACATTGGTGAACTGACCTAAGATCTAAAATCATAATGCCAATTAACAAACAATACGAATATACAGCGGTGAACTAATCCTGGTCGTGATCGGTAATCAACAAAAATCGACGAGTAAAACTTATTTATTCCATACATTATTGTTTATGTAACAATAAGTATGTGTTTAACGTTAAGTACAACTCAGTTAATTATAATAACTAGGCTAATTAAAAAAATTTTAATGGTAAATATCTAATTATACAAAAACACATTGCTGAACAGGGTCGAAAAGCTCTATACTCAGTCTCAAAAGTTTGTAATGAAAATTATTTTAATATTGTAACTAAACTTTGTTTTTTTATACTTTGATCTCTTGTATTCTAAATTATGGTGTTTTCATTTGGGACATGATATAGAACAAATACATTTAAGGTACTTTAGGAAAATCTTAGATACAAGAACAACCACAAATTCCCACATGATCTATTATGAACTTGGATGTTTCCCTTTAATCATTACGAGAAAATTACGGTTATTTAAATACTGGATTAAAATCGTTCTTCTACTAATTTCTTACGTAATTCTTGCCACTCTAATATGTTAATAAATAATGACCCGTGGGTCCTGAATGTTAGGAAGGAACTTTTTAAAATTGGCTTGGGAGATTTATGGGAAAAACCTGCTCATCTCATAAACACAAATTGTATCCATATCATCCGACAAAGATTATTAGACATATTTAGACAGGAGTGTATTGAGAAATTTGAATTATCAAGTAAATGTATCATTTATAAGCATATTGTGAATACATTTGGCTTACAATATTATTTGACTAAACCAATAGACAGAAAATACAGACGTGAAATTACAAGAATCCGTTTGTCCAGTCATAATTTAAATATTGAAAGGTTACGATATAGTACTAAATATATTGAGAGAAGTAAACGATTATGTACATTGTGTAATTTTAAAGACATTGAAGTTGAGTACCATTTTGTTTTAATTTGTCCAATTTATAAAAATCTGAGATAATATATAAAAAAGTATTATTATTCGAACCCCAGTGTTTTTAAATTATTTAATGTTTTATGTACTAAAAATGTATCTGAACATGTAAACCATGGTAGATTTTTATATTTTTCTAATAAAATAAGAGATGAAGAGATTAAACGGAATAGTAACAATTAATATACCATTACTCTACTCTCCATAACATGATTCTTGTTTGTAATACTGTGTTTATATATTAGTATATATGGATATTTGTATTGCTTTTTTTTTGTTTTGTAAATACTTTGTAAATATTTTTGTTTATCCCAATGAATCTGTGACTCAAGGGTAATAAAAACTAGAAACTTGAAACAGTCCGAGGTGAAATGGTTGTGGGATGAACTGACCCGCACCTTGCTGGTAACTACAAGTGGGAATTAATAAAACAATAGCATTCAACCAATCAAATGAAATGAAATGAAATGGAGTTTAACGTCCTACTGTTCTGCTCCTAACCTGGGCTAATGAAGACGGGCATACGCCATACAGTGTGCTATGAGGGAAATTTTGCCCGGACAGCGGCACTACGGCCTACTTTTATATCGAATTCCAACTGCCAAGGGATCTTTTACGTGCACGCCAATGTGTACACGGGACCTCGGTTTTTTGTCCCATCCGAACGACTAGACAGCTTTCCTTGTCAGCCCCTCCGTCCTGCATCACTGACAAGGGAGAACCACGCCGGAAAACCAACCAATCAAATAATTAATGTTAATAAAAAGGGACATTTATGACTCAACTGTACATTCAAAGGCATGATTTTGTATGGCACCCAGACAGGTGAGAATTAATAAAACAATAGCATTCGACCAATCAAATAATTAAACCATACTGTACTTACGAACATGTATATTCAAAAACATGGTTTCATATGGCACCCAGACACTTGACCACAGGTGTGAGTTAATAAAACAATAGCATTCGACCAATCAAATAATTAATCTATACTGTAATAATGTTCATTTATGACTCCATCCTATATTCAAAATAACAATCGGCTGACCAATAGGTGAATAGCTCATAATACCATGTATACACAGGCCTTTTCTGTAATTAATGTGTATGGGAATATAGATTAAGAGGAGATTAGTGACTAATATGATAATTGTCTGCGATATCACCTCGGTCGAAGCGGACGTTAAATAAAGCTATTTCACACAAAATATTACTGAGCGCCATGGAAAACGCATCACTTTTTTTTCCAAAATATTTTATTACTAGGTGGTTTTGTATGTATAATATTATGCAATACTATGAACTATTGTTTCACACAATGCTCCCAAACGCAAAAAATATCGGCCCGTGTGCACAAAAAAAAATTACACGAGATGCACATGAAAAACCCAATATTCACGTGCAGCATTGTGTGTGAGCCCTTTAAAAGCATGTTTTCAACTTAATGTACAGTACATGAACTGTGAAACGTCAATCTGTCGTAATTTGTTGTTGGACGTGTGAAGGAATCGAGCTAGAGATGCCGAGACTTACTGAAAATCAACGGAATGAAGCCATGGGAATGTCCAGGGCTGGCATGTCTACACGTGCTATTGCCAGGCACTTCAATTGTCATCAGTCCAATATTGTAAGGTTGGTGGAACCTGTTCGAGTTACTGGATCAACACGTGACCGTCAACGTCCTGGTCCACAACGTGTTACAACCCAGGCTCAAGAGACCGCTACATCCGGGTCACTCATCTGCGTGACAGATTTTGCCCAGCGACTCGAACAGGTGCAGCAGTCGTTGGAAGACAAGGACCAGTAAGTGCCAACACCGTAAGACGTCGTCTAAGAGAAGTAGGACTCCGTGCACGACGACCATATGTTGGAGCTATCCTCAGGGATCATCACCGTCAGTGGCGTTTGATATGGGCTCAAGGACAAAGTGTGCTCTTCAGTGATGATAGTCGCTTTCATCTTTATCACTCTGATGGCCGTCAATGTGTGTGGAGACGTCTTGCAGACTGCTGCGTCTTCAAAACGAATCGATTGGGTGGGGGAAGTGTAATGGTGTGGGGAGGCTTCACATTTCATCACCGGACCGCCCTACACACTTGCAGGGGTTGCGCTAATGCTGTAGCCTACCGTGATGATGTCTTGCAACCAATTGTTGTTCCGATGTTTCGAGCGCACCCACAACTTCAGAACTTCCAACAGGATAATACACGTCCGCATACCGCCCGTTTTAGTATGGACTACCTGGCTGCTAACAACATCAATGTCTTTGACTGGCCAGCCATGTCTCCGGACATGGCACCGATAGAACATGTCTAGGATGAGATTGGACGCCGTCTGTATCGGAGACCACAGATGCACACTATTGCTGCTTTAGAAGCTGCTCTTGTCCAAGAATGGAACAATTTGCCGCAGGCCTTCTTTCAAACATTGGTAAATTCCATGCGACGTTGCTGCACAGCGTGCATAAGAGCCCGTGGAGGACACACGCGCTACTGACATCTGTGTCATACTTTTGGTTTTGACCCCTCTGACTTTGTACCGTTGATTACAGATTAAACATCCATAAGTGTACAAATGTGTTGTTATTGATGTGTTCCCATTTGAATATTGTTCACAATAAGAAACAAAATAAATAAGATATGTTTACAGGATCATTTTGTTATACGAAAAACTAAGTGATGCATTTTCCATGGTGCTCAGTATATGATAATCGTAGTTAAAAGAAGACTTTCACAACATAAAAGTTGCGTTTATTTTGAATACTTAAATAACTCTGGCTTAATTTGGCTTGGCTCTGAATTTTGATTGAGCGGAAGATTTTTAAAAACAGATTTTTATTAACAATTTTAACAGACTGTGGTATAGGATTTAAATGGTTCATTTACATTATCAATACATACAATTTGCTTTTTGTTATTAAATTATGTATAAATCTGTTGATTGTTTTCCAATTTTGACTTCTTTTTGTGCATGCTGCTATTTCTTTATTTATAAACCAGTGATTGTTTTCCAGTGTTGTGTTTTTAGTATTCATGCTGTTATTTGTGATTGTTTTTAGTATTTAGTGTACATACATATAAATACATACAATTGGTTTTTGTTATTAGATTATCATAGCTAAATATATGTTCTGTTTTATTTATTTGTCGGGAATGTTGATTTTGAATCAGTACCAAAATTTAACACCTGTACCCAATAATCAACGAAATTGCGCAGAACCCCCAATCAAGTAATTACGCTGTCTGAAAATGGGGACAGCTTGTCTATAGAGGTTGACAGTGACTTTTTGGGGCGCCAGTCTAATGTACCGTCTCGCGAAATTATCGCACGCTACTGTGAGCTTGACGTATGACCATGTGAACATATGGAAGACTAGTTAATTCATTTGTGATTTAAAAAAGATACATTACCTGGGATGTGATTTACCGATTTCCAATTGTATAATTACCTGGGACGTGATTTACCGATTTATTTGTCAATGGTGGAATACTAAGTTTATAGGATAATGGATAATATATAATACTACGACCACAGTAAGGTGATCATCTATGGGTGTGCATTTTTTATATTCCCCTTTTTTATTCGTACTTCATATGTAAATAATCGTAATCAAAATTAACCGATCGGATAAACGGCTCGCGGGAAATTAAAAGGTTCATCTAATTTTTCAATGCCGTAGATAAATTAATCGTGTGTTGATTTTTCAACGTATCTCGGGGAAAGTAAATGGCTTGTCTAATAAGTAAACGTCGTAGATGCCACTCAGAGAAACTAAACTTGTTACCATTAAACTAAGCCATAGTACTAACTAACCCATATATGTAATTCTTAAACGATTTTTATCAATTATCGAACGATGTTTCGAAAGTTAACTCTATGCATACTTTCCGGCGCTAAAAACCCAGTTCTAAACTATACCAAATCCCTAGTCTTTTCTTGCCTAATAACTTACCTTACCACAAATTTTGCAGCATTATTATCGTTATACATCAAGAGAGATCAAACGAATTTCCAGTGTTACGTTATCACCTATATATGCACATTTTAGCGAAAGTATTAATGGTTTAAGTACTATTAGAGCGATGAGAGCAACAGAGAGGTAAGAAAACTAAAAATCTTTTAATGTTATGAATAAAAAAAATAAATGCATATTTCATAATCTTTGTGGTTATATAGGAAGTGTTGTTCTCAAATGTGTCCAGAGATATGATTTTGGGGTAGAAAATGACATTTTCCAACAGAAATGACATACATTGACCTGCAATCAGAAAAACTTTGAGAAATAGTTTTATTTACTTCACGGTTGATATTGTTTGATAAACAAAATTAAGACAAAACTAGAGTTGTCCTCGAAACAGCTTTGATAGTTTTTATACAACACAATCACACACTTACACATTAATTACAATGTCTATACTAAACAGCTAAAAAACGTCCGTACGATTTCAAAATCAGAGAGGCACTTTAATCAAATCATTCTAGAAAACGACTTGCTAAATGGATCAAAGCAATTTTTTATACGTCCACATTTTCATGTTGACGTAATATGCCGTCGCCCCTGTCCGTCCACAATTTGTTTGTGGACACTCTACAGGTCACAATTTTTATCGGATTTCAACGAAACTTGAAATATAGATTTATCTCCCTAAAATCTTGGTTTCTTTCGATATTGGCATGTATCGGACTGTAACTTCATGGATTATGGCCCCTGATAGTACGAAAAATAAACGTTTTTAGCTTGTGGACCCTATAGAGGTAACAGTTTTTATCCGATTTTGTTGAAACTTGAAATGTAAGTTTATAACCCAAAGATCTCAGTTCCTTTTCATATTCGCGCATATCGGACTGTAACTTCCTGAATTATGGCCCCTGATTGTACGAAAAATCGCGTTTTTAGCTTGTGGACCCTATAGAGGTCATAATTTTTATCCGATTTAAAAAACGTTTTAGTATATCACCGTTACACCCTAAGGACGGCTGAGTTTGAATTTTGTGAAAATCGGACCAAAACAGACTAACAAAATGGCCGCCCATCGTTCTCAAATAGCATAAAAATATGGTATATCAAGGTTGTGGACCCTATAGAGGTCACAATTTTTATCCAATTTTGTTGAAACATAAAATATAAGTTTATAACCCACAGATCTCGGTTCCTTTCGATATTCGCGCATATCGGACCGTAACTTCCTGAATTATGGCTCCTGATTGTACGAAAAATTGCGTTTTTAGCTTGTGGACCCTATAAAGGTCATAATTTTTATCCGATTTAAAAAAAACGTTTTAATATATCACCGTTATACCCTAAGGATGGTTGAAATCGGCCCAAAACTGACAGACAAAATGGCCGCCCCTCGTTCTCAAATAGGGTAAAAAAATGGTTTATCAAGGTTGTGGACCCTCTAGAGGTCACAATTTCTTTCTGATTTTGATGGAACTTGAAATGTAAGTTTATTACCCAAAGATCTCGGTTATTTTCGATATTTGTGCATATCGAATCGTAACTTCCTGAATTATGGCCCCTGATTGTATGAAAAATCACGTTTTTAGCTTGTGGACCCTATAGATCTTTTGGAGATAAACCTATATTTCAAGTTTCGTCAAAATCTGATAAGAATTGTAACCTGTAGAGTGTCCACAAACAAATTGTGGACGGACAGGAGCAAAGACAATATACATCCACATGAAAATGTGGGCGTATAAAAATCGCGTTTTTAGCTTGTGGACCCTATATAATTCTTATCCGATTTAAAAAATGTTTGAATATATCACTGTTATACCCTAAGGATGGTTGAGTTCGAATTTCGTAAAAATCGAACCAAAACTGACAGACAAATAGCATAAAAATATGGTATGGTATATCAATGTGTTGGACCCTGTAGAGGTCACAATTTTAATCCGATTTTGATGAAACTTGGTTGCTTTCGATATTCATGTATATCGGATCATAACTTCCTGAATTATAGCCCCTGATTGTACGAAAAATGGTGTTTTTAGCTTGTGGTTGCTCTAGAGGTCACAATTATTATCCAATTTAAAACACTGTTTGAATATATCTCCGTTACACCGTAATGAAGGTTGAGTTCGAATTTCGTGAAAATCAGACCAAAACTGCCTGACAAAATGGCCGCCCCTTGTACGTAATTAGTGTAAACATCTGGTATAAGGTTGTGGACCCTCTGGAGGTCACAATTTTGTGCTGATTTTGATGAAACTTCAAATGCATGTTTATAACCCAAAGATCTTGGTTGCTTTTGATATTCGCGCATATCGGATCGTAACTTCCTGAATTATGGCCCCTGATTGTACGAAAAATTGTGTTTTTAGCTTGTGGTCCCTCTAGAAGTCACAATTATTAACCGATTTAAAAAAACGTTCGAATATATCACCGTTACACCATTATGATGGCAGAGTTCGAATTTGTCGGAAATCGGCCCAAAACTGCCGGAAATAGTGTAAATATATGGTATATCAAAGTTGTGGATCCTCTAGAGGCTACAATTTTGATCCGATTATGATGAAACTTGCAATACATATTTATAACCCAAAGATCTTGGTTCCTTTTGATATTCGTGCATATTGGATCGTAACTTCCTGAATTATGGCCCTTGATTGTTTTGGTCCCTCTAGAGAGAGGACAAAATTTTGATCCGATTTTGATGAAACTTGAAATACATGTTTATAACCCAAAGATCCTTTCAATATTCATGCATATCGGATCGTAATTTCCTGAATTATGGCCCTTGATTGTACGAAAAATCACTTCTTTTTTTGAGCTTGTTCTCTGTCCATCTCTTGCAAAATGTGGGCGTATCTTGCATGACAACCGCTTGTTGTTGTGAACAGTATGTTGACATATTAGTGATTAATTCATCACAATTCCAAGACATTACGAGAAGGTTTAAAGAGTCTGTACACAGTCTATACATCAGTATCTGGTGTGTCCACCATGAGTGTCAATAACAGCAGCGACTGTACATGGAGTGGACTAGACGCTTGATGAACGCCATTGGCACCTGGAACCACACTCTCAGAAAAGCCTGGCGCAATCCATCGGCTGTGTTTGGTCTTGGTAAGCCGTTATTAAGTCTCCTCTGAATTTCATCCCAAAGATGTTCAATCGGGTTTAAATCTGGACTAAGGGCTGGTCAGTGCATGATGTTGACACCATTCTGCTGTAGAAAGTCCCGAGTAACTCTGGTGCTGTGGGCACGGGCGTTGTCATGCTGGAAAATGTTGTTTCGATGACGTGCGAAATGTGGTATGACGTGGGGTCTGAGAGCTTGATCGATGTAGATGCCGCAAAACTTCCTGGTTTTTTTTTTAAAAGTTACACAGAACCTTTGTTTACAAATCGATTTTTATAAAACTTTCAGAATAAACACAAAATGTCTTAGTTAATTGTTCAGCTTCAACATTTTACCCGATTTCAAGGTTTTACACTTCCTTGAAAAATTAAATTTTTTGACGTCACTTAAAAAAAAATATAGGTCAAATATCAAAATTCTAATCCGAGCGATCGATTGCTAATAGTGAATGGTTTTCCAAAATATAACGATGTTCGAAATCAGTGAAAATTGTAGGCCAAGATAGATGATTCTGAAAGTTTCAAGTCGAAATCTTCAAAAGAAAAAAGTTAGACATTTCAGATTTTTCCATTTTGAGCTTAAAATTAGGTCATACGCATCCAAGGTTGAGATCCTGTTCTTTACAAAGAACTTGTGAATTATGAACACCTACCAATTGTTGAAAACCGCATTAAAATTGATTGGGAAATAAAAAAGTTGCCTTTGTTGTGTAATATTGATTTATTTTCGTCTGTGACATCACTTCCTGATAACATTTTAAAGTTTTAGTTATTCATTCATTGAGCTCTTGATATAAATAATTTTCAGATGGTATAGAGTCTACTTGTATAGAGTATGTACTTTTTCCTAAAAGGCTTCCGAACAAAAACATCCTGTGAAACCAGGGATCTTCTTTCTAAATTTGTTAATTGGACATGTCTCTCATCAGTAAAGACACAAAAGAAATGCTTAAGAAGATTTGATAATTCTTAAATTATAATTTATATGTTGTGGGTTGAGTGTTAAATGGTTGATTGTTGACTATCTAGATATTATTCCTTACGTCCATCGTAAGTGTGCTTTAATTTTGAATGGAAGATTGATCATTAAATTGTAATAGTTTCCCAGCAATATTATTATTAACATATTGATATGATTAGCATATTTTATCCATGTTTTTAGATTTACACGTGAAAACCTCCAAAGATTAGATCTCAACCAAAGAGCTCAGTTTGCCAATAAAGCAGCTGCAAGATGGCTAGATTTCCGTCTGCAAATGTTAGGCGTTGCTATGGTAACTGGTGTATCATTTATTGCTGTTTTGGAACATCATTTTAGATCAGCTGATCCAGGTAAATATTTATTATTATAGACAAATAAAATGATAGATTGATTGGTGAGGAAGATTTCAGAGATATTAATGAAAATTGAGTTTGGATTTCTGAAATTTGAAAATATAGGTCACAAATTACTTGATTAATATGCAAATTAATGTAAATATCTTGTAATATGGTGAATAATATTACTTGGTAACATACAACAACAAAAAGTAAGTCATGATTTGTATCTTGAGATCCCTGGTATTGTCCAAGAAAGTTCCTCTGGCAAAGATAGTGTCTAGTCATTCAGATGGGATGTAAAACCTGAAAAACCAAAGTCCCTGAACACATTTGAGTACACAATAGAGAACCCTTGACAGTTGGAATTCGATGTAGCACACTGCATATAGTATGCCCTTCATTATGTGTCAGATTTGTGCAGAAAAGTAAGATGTTAATAATCCCATTTCATTTCTTTTCGTGTCTTATGTTATTACAGGTTTAGTTGGTCTGGCTATTTCTTATTCTCTGTCTATCACGGGATTATTAGGTGGTGTAGTCATGTCATTTACAGAAACTGAGAAACAGCTAGTAAGTGTTGAAAGAGCAGAACAATATATCAATAATGTACCACATGAAAACTGGACAGGAATATTATTTGTAAGTAATCATCTATCAGTATAAACTACAGAATTGGGTCAATCCATGTCATGTGTAAAAACTAGAAACTGTGCAAATTATTTGGGATATGGGCATTTGAGTTTTCATGAATTACTGATGAGTTTTCGAAACAAAATATGTATCAATAATTTACTTTAGTTTCAGATATCTTATTTTTACCTTTCTAGTAAAGATATACAGCTCACATTTGGTTGTCTTAAAGGGCGATTCCCGAATTTCATAGAGCCTAAAATATAACATTCCGTGTACGTATGAAATTTAAACGCCAAAATATAGAGGAATAGTGTATTTACCTTGTCTGAAAAGTTCAGTTCAAAATATTGAGTCGTTTGGACGTGAACGTCAAAATCGCTTATCTGGACACTAGCATTTTTATGACGTTTTTTCGTTGGCCACTTGATAATCGCGACTATTTTATACCGATTGTTAACTTAATTGAATAGAGAGCTTTGATTTACGCACCCTGTTGGCGGTAAGCTATAATTTGAGAAAGAAAATCTGATTGGATGTTTATTTATACACAGCCAATCGCTATAGTTTACCGGAACATCGGCCTATAATGTGATTCACTCGGGTCAAACTGAAAGTTGGGAGTTTGGTGTTTCGTTCAATTCATCATGGATAACCCTCGAAAGCGTCAAAGAGAACGAACCGTTACAGATACTGCAGAGGAAAGAAGAAAGAAATAGAACATGCGAGGTTACACAGCACAGAAAAAGACGAATGTGTGTATTTATGCGGAGAAGTAACGAGATGGAAATTGGAATGATTTTAACTTCAACAAAGCCAACTTCACGAAGACGTTGTCAATCTGAAGTAATAAAAACTTTTAAACCGGTATGATATTTTATTGGAGGAATCATCTGTAAATAGTGTAAATTAGTAGTATTATCTTTTGGAATCATCAATTTTTATTTGAGATGTATGTACTCACAGATTTAATTTTTAACAATTTATTTATTTTCTTTTTTTATTAATATTACATCTATAGTTTCATTCTGTTAGTTTTTGTTGGCTCTGTTCGATAGAAAAAAAAATTAAAAGGGCCAAGATTATTTTCAATTTATTATTCTGTGTGAGTTGCCTTCCCATTTATTTATATGCTTATGTACTGAACTATAGGCTTACCAGTACATGATGTAAACTAGGATTAGGAAAAAATAAACATCAAATACAAAGACTTCTTTATTTTACAGGCAAACAGGAAATATATTGAGTCATTCCATGCCAGTAAGTTCCAGGTAATGACAACCAATACAGACCTGCAATTGTAGTTCAAACTAGGCCTAGTAGTTATGATGATTTGTTATGATTTTCAAATTCGGCTGGGTGGCCGAATGGTTAAGGATCAGAAATGAAATGGGGGTTTAACATCCTACTGATGAAGTCCGGCATATGCCATACAGTGTGCTATGAGGGAAATTTTGCCTGGGCAGCAGCACTATGGCCTACGCTCTTGCGTTGAATTAGACTGTCATTGAGTCCAGTTGTGTGATTGCACTAAAAACCTATGCATGAGCGAATTATTGAAATAAAATTGAAATTGAACCATGTATTTTAAGTCCTAGTTAGACCTAGTTTGTGTTGAGTGGACATTAAACCCTCTTTTTTCATGTTCCTTCTTTAAAAAATACTCCTTTAAATTTAATAATAGATGTTCTACACCAACAATAATAAATTATTTGACATTATTTTGCAGTCCACTGGTTTACCATGCAAAATGTTTGTTGGTAGCAGTTGATTTTAATTTGCATACAAATCGAGAACCACTAAAAGGAGCTGACAGAAACATTAGGTTAGTTTTCCCCTTACTTATGTAATAACATTCAACAATATCTAATAAATGACCCATCCCACAGTCATGTAAGAAACTAATTGGTCAATTTTAACCATGGATCAAATGTGTTTATAAAATATGAGAAAACGTCAAATTATTGTGTCTCATCTTGGTACAATCAATCTGTGATTTTTGATGTGTATACCATTAGCAGCATGATACAGTTCTCCTGACAATTGAAATTTCGCAGATATAACACTGCATGACATAAGGCCCATTTCCATTAACCTTTTTGATTTATTTATTTTTCAGATATAAAAAAAAAATACTCAAAAAGATCGGCAACGTTGTCATCGGTACCTTTAATCTGGGGCAGTCATATCCAGACCCAGCTGATCCAATGAGAATACAAAAATCCCTTGCTCCCAGAAGTTCACCCACTCTAGAAGATATTGTGAAGAGACAGACCACAAAATTTTAAGAATATTACAGAATATAATATATTTTGACTAAAATTAAATACACAATATAAAACAGGAATATGTTTAATAGCATCAATGTTTATTAAACATGCATTATGCAAGAAGTAAATGTGCCTATTGTGAGTCTTTCTTTAGGTCTGTAATGGTAAATAAACTACATGTAATAATTAGACATTTATCATAATCAACTCTTGATGTCATCTAAGGTGTCCGATTTTCATTGGATTTGAATCTGATCTGCTGTTCACTGTCTGTTGATTAAACACAACAATGGATAATCAACACTTTGTTTATTATCGTGACAGCAGTAACAATGACAATCAAGGCTACAGTCATTTTTAAACTAAGGTTTTCTCGGCTCATAGTGAAGCAATTTAACTGAAATTCTCAGCATATTCCATTTACATCATCTAGTTTTAACTATTATAGTGAGAACTGCTAGCTCTTTATCTAATCTTCCATAATGTATCTTAAACTAATAGAAAAGAATGTTTTGTTTGATAATTTGGGTAGGTCTTTTGAACAGTGCTCCTTCATTCATGGTTATGCCCATTTGTCAGGATACCTCCTCTTTACTTTGCAGACTATACAGTTTGATGTAACTTATGTGATTATCTCTTCCAAGTCGACCGTGCCTCCAAAACCGACGGTAGACAGCATGGCGAAACCTTTTCTGTTCGTCGTCATCTGGCACCCTAACAAAATGTCATCTCTTGTTTGTAATGTGATCTAAACCCCGTCTTCTAAACAATACTGATCAATTTCCTGAAAGTAAAATGTTAAAATATGTAAAAATGTATTATAGTTTTATATAACTATTAGTTGTTTATTGTCAAATATTTTTTTTTTGTATTTTGTAAACAGTTTGTCTTGAATGTAAATATTAAGAGTCTCTGAGTAAACAGTTGTTGATGTGATAATTATTTGGTTGTCATTAAATCACAAGTAAGCATAAAGAAATAGTGAAATCACCGATATTCCAACTATAAAAGTTAATACTGCATGAAGTTTTAGATTTTATACTTGATATCTACTTACATGTCTTAGAGATGAGCAATTTTGAGGCAAAACTCTATAACATAGATTTTTTGTCTCTGGTGGTGGAGACGTGACTGGTGTGTCTCTAGCTGCAATAGTCAAACTGTCGCAAATTTCAAGCCTGGTTGTCTCTCTATTATGACAACCAGCAATTCTATTCTTTTTTTATCATCCAGCTGTGATATTAACATCTGTAAATATTAAATGTAATCTTGATGTAATGAAATATTTTTTTTTGTAATTATATAATAAATAAGCTCACATGACAGCCAAAGAATTGAAAAGATTTTGTTTTTATACATATTTGCATGCCATAAAAAATGGAAATGATATGACTTGTCAGTTATCTATTTGTCTTCATTGGCACTCTAAACAAAATCATTCTGGGTTTGTAACAGGAGCTACACTACCCTTCATCTACAATAAGCATAATACAGCATAAGGGTTGTAGTAAAGAAATTACTGTTATTTATACCTTCAATCCATCAATTCTCTGTGATCTCAACCTTGCTACCCTTTTTATACGCCCACATTGAAATGTGGTCGTATATTGTCGTCACCCCCGTCCGTCCGTCCGGCGTCCACAATTGCTTGTGGACGCTCTAGAGGCTAAAGTTAATATCTGATTGACTTTAAATTTATACACAGTGTTTAAGGTCTTGAGATGAAGAAGCCTATTGATTTTCAGCGATTTCCGATAATTACTGCCAGAGTTATGGCCCTTGATCACTTTGAAAAATCTTGTGGACGCTCTAGAGGCCAAAGTTAATATCCAATTGACCTTAAATTTATACACAGTGTTTGAGGTCATGAGACGAAGAAGCCTATTGATTTTCAACAATTTCCGATAATTAATGCCAGAGTTATGGCCCTTGATCACTTCAAAAAATCTTGTGGACGCTCTAAAGGCCAAAGTTAATATCCGATTGACTTTAAATTTATACATAGTGTTTAAGGTCATGAGACGAAGAAGCCTATTGATTTTCAGCGATTTCCGATAATTACTGCCAGAGTTATGGCCCTTGATCACTTCAAAAAAATCTTGTGGATGCTCTAGAGGCTAAAGTTAATATCCGATTGAGTTTAAATTTATACACAGTGTTTGAAGTCATGAGACGAAGATTCCTATTGATTTTCAACGATTTCCGATAATTACTGCCAAAGTTATGGCCCTTGATCACTTTGCAAAATCTTGTGACGCTCTTAAGGCTAAAGTTATCATCCGATTGACTTCAGATTGAGATCTTGAGACGAACAAGTATATCGATTTTCAATGAATTTTTATGACTTGAACAGTTAAATCCATGATATTAAAAGCTTTGCATACAAAACGTTAGCATGGGGCAGAACTTTATAAAAACCAAACAAATTCTAATAGTTTTCTGATAATTACTTCGTGAGTTGTTGCTCTTAATCAGATTTTAGTGTATTATAAATGTTTAATTACCGAAAAAAGTAAAAATATGTGACAACCCTTGTTGACTGCATGGCAACCTATTTTTCTGTGGTCTCTGTGACATCTCTTGGATGCCTTGAGACAACACATCTGTGCACAGTTTTCCTACGTTTTGATGGAGAGGAAGGGTTTGTAGATGGGTAAGTTGTAGCTTTTTCTGGTGTTGGCAAATCCGGCAAACTTTTAATATTATCAGAACTTGATAGTGGTGGAGGGTGAATCACTT